TGCGTGCGCACACAACGGGGTGAATTTACCAGAGAGGGGTCGAGGCTCAAGGGTTGCAAGGGTAACCTACTGTCGTGCACGGTTCACCAGGGACGCGCTCGACAAATTTCTCGTCCCATTCGAGTTCTGATTCATCTGGATCGCGAACGACACGCGTTATTATTCCTCTTCTTCGAGTCGTGCGAGAAATAACGGAGTGTACGTAAAAATGGTTATTTATTAGATAGAATTGGCGAGGATTTTTATTTTAGAGGTATAAAGAACGCATATAATATAATATATTTGTTAGATTTGACGAATCAATCTTTGAAGATACATTCGTTAAAGATTGGCGATCTAATTGTAAGAAGTTTATGGAATTGTTTTCTTTTTTCGAATTTAATAATTAAATTTTAATCAATATCTACTAACTTTTTTCGATTCGAATTGTTTACATCTCGAAAGGTGTGTCAGGAATATATACGAATATATTTCGTGTAATTGAAGCAGATTAGAAGGTAGAGTGTTGTAAAGGTTAACACACGCTCTATAATTAACGAGCTTTTTTTAATTCGTGCCGTGGATATATATCGATCGTGGACCATGTATTAAAAATTGTCAAGTTATATACTTTATTTATAAATAAGGCAAGCGAAGGTTTAATAATAAAAGACGTATCATTGGCGATTAGGTTGAAGCTCGATTTATAATCATGGTGATATTTTTTTTTTTAATTTTATCCAAGGGAAACGATGATGTTTCTTTATATAAAGATATCGAGAATCGTAAAAAATCTAACGATTGGACAGAATCGTACGAATAAATATTATTAAAAAAAAAAAAAAGTATAGCAAGAAAGAATCAAAGAAGACGGTGATAACGCGTTTCCCGTAGGCGAGTCACTCTAATTTACAGAATTTACAAAATTGTATAAATAAATCAGAAACTAGAACGTGAGAGCGAAGCCATTGTTTATACCTGTGAAATAAAAGGTATATCATCGTTATAATCCATTCAAAATTATATTTTTAAATAGAAATCGTTTGTAGAAATATCTTCGTTCTTTTCGTCGAGTCGAAGAAAGAGAAATAAATAAATCAAAACACGAGTCGTTATACATTATCATACAATCACAGAAGAAATGTATACATAAACATTTCATAGATAATGAATTCTTTCTTAGTTAGAATCGAAAATTTGAAAATGATCGAGAATAACGAAATTTCGAACTTTCGAATTTCGAATCGAGCCAACGATGATCGGATGAGGCAAGAAGTTAACACGAGGATTTTAACAGGGATTTCTTGCAACGCAAGGTTGGTCGCAAAGCGAAGGGACAAACCGAGAAACTCGTTGACGGATGAAGCTCGCATAAAACAGAATCGAAACGCGGTAATTTAACCGACAACGTAATTTCACGTGAGGCACGTACGCGCGCGGTATACCGGCGTGCAATAATCCGAAACCGGCTCGCGCACCAGTTCTCTCTCTCTCTCTCTCTCTCTCTCTC